TTTTGTTTCCGAGTTATAGAAAACTTATTAGCATCGGTAAACGAATTGAAAGTATGATTTTTCTGTATTGTTAACAAAATAGTAACTCGCCATTACCTCTACTCGTAACATTACAAACAAAAGGAGAGATCAGCAAACCGTGCGCATAGTGAAGCTACATTTATGTCCAGAAGCAAAACAAGGAGCCATCACTGCATTTGCTCAATGGATTAGGGAAACTGGAGAAAAACCTGATCGAGATGGTGGTCATTGATCCATTGATGTACCTTATGTACATTGATGTACATTGATGTACCTTATTTGTCACAAACATATTAAGCTTTAAAAAAATATACAAATTAAATGTAAACTAATTCAATATATATAGCTGTTTTGTTAAAATAAACATTTTTCGTTTTGATGTTCAGTATAGTCTCAAATTGTTTAGAAACAGTTATGCAGAAGAAATGATTTTACTTTTAACTTAAATTTGTAAACTGACTTCAATTGTTTAATGTCATCTGGCAATGCGTTGTAAAGTAACGTACATGTATGTGGATTTCTGACAGTGAGCTGTTGTTACTAACACTTAATGAACGTGATTTTTATGACGAAGAGACCAAGCAAACTAAAAACGGAAGTACAAAACCATTGTTTCCTTGGCTGACTTCCGTTTAATGCACGCTATTTCGTATCAAATCCATCAGAAGCCTGTGAACTGATTCAGTCTTTTCTTTAAATTTATTTATTTAAGGTCGCTTTATAACATGTAGGTCATCAGCGATTCCTATCATTATACAATTGTATAGACAAAAATATATATTACAATTATATTAAGAATAAATATAAACTTAATTTAATTTTCATATTATGTTTAATCTAACTAAAGTACACAATATTCATAGCTATATAAGACTTTATTTTCTCTATTCAATGAATTTTAAATTATTTTCGTTAATTCGTTAATATTGTATTAAATATATGTTCAGTTTTCTCTATTTAAAAATATAGACGAAGAATCTTCTAGCGTCTTCAAACGGGAATTTTCGTCCAATTGGCGCATTTCGTTTATTCTTTCAGTAACACATCCAAACAAGAGAAAATGAAAGTGAGTTTAATCACGTGTGAAAGATTTAAACTTTTCCAAGACTGAATCAAAATTTCTAGCTTCCAAATTTCATCAATGAGAAAATATATCGCGGAAAATGTAAATGACCTCGAAATAAGAATATCTCCAAAACTCTTTAGAACACTATTTTGATGTGAATGATGATACTATGTTCTAATCAGCTTAGACAAATGGAATCAATGAATACACGTCATTTTACCGAAAAAGGGGGGTATGTTTCTAAATACTTAGTTCCTAAATGTTGATTTATTCTACAACGAAAATATTTGGTTTTTTATTCGTAAAGGTTATGCAGTAAATTTAAGACAAAAATTAAGTATCTTCTTAATGTGAACAGTTGCAGTAATTTAATTGGTAACTACGAAATGATTTGAAGATGGTTGCAACCATACTAGAATTTTAATAAAGATACATAAATTGCAACTAAATCTTTTGTGATGGGATAGCCTGCGTAATATTTCGCACTTAAAGAGAAAGAACTAGCCTCTTCGAAAGATTCTAAATTTAGGGAAGAAGAATATTATGGAACAGGCACTATTTAATATGTAAAATTACAAGACAACCACATTTTATCATTTTGTGGCCATTTTTGAGTATAGTACATCAAAAGCCATTTTTGAGTATTGTATATCAAAATATGCAATCCTTGTAATCCATCTAATAGAAAAAAAAGAAAATTTGTCAAATGAGTAAGCGTGCTTACAATAATTTCTATTTGCAAATAAATGGTTTTGTTTCAGAGTTATTTCCATTTTTAAAGCATAAGTAAGCGTTTTAAAGCATAAGAAAATATCTAGGATCGGTTTAGCCTACATAACAGAATTGGTGAATTGTTGTAAGCAATAGCGTAACGAAATGTGTACGGGCCCGCCCACAAAACATTTATCCAGGCCCCCGTTGGCCCTCCGCCTTCAGCCTTTTTCGCTTACGAGCGACTGAGAATATGTGGTAAATGACCGCCTTTAAAGGTAAGCTGCTTCAAATGGCAAAGTGCTTATAACCGATAGTGGAAAAATCTCCCTTTATTATTTAATTATTATTATTAATATTATTATTAATATTATTATTATTATTTAAATCTACTAAATGAAGACTTTTATAAAACCTATACTTACCTTTATTGGTTTATAAACGGGGTTACATGAGCTACCGAGGTGAAAAAAATCGTTCTGCTGGAAGGTGATGTTTTTATCCATTTAATGTAATAACTATCGCAAAGATCCAGAGAACGTATCAAGTAATATTTCTTTCAATCGCAAAACCTTCAGCCTAACAATGGGGCACCCTTTTACCCGGGCCTGCCTGTAATGCGAGCCTCACGGGCCTGAACGTAACGCCTCTGGTTGTAAGCTTATACCCACGTGTGGAAAAGCGTTGCATTCACAAATGATTTTTTAAATTAAATATAAATTAAATTAATATATTTATATATAAATTACTTGTAAGGAGCATCGTAACGCTAAGCAATGCAAGTCAAATTTCATGAGGAAGCTCTGGCTTTTGCCCTATGCAATTAATATTAAACAGCTCAGAGTCTGTCCAACGCATGATTCCCATCGCATTTTCAAAATATTTCCGAGTCTCCTGCCTTCGGGATTTACATAACACGTTGGTGTAAATCGAAAGCAGGTTATTAAGGGATCTAGTTATTCTTCTCGACACAAGTCTAAGCATGGAACGCTGCATAAACATGCAAATATACGTTTGGAAAAATGATTTACGAAAACTTACAAGTAGCAACAGATTTCAACAAGTGTCGACGTGGCATGCATACTTCATAAGTCTAGACATGGAACGCTGCATAAACATACAAATCTGCACTTGGAAAAATGACCTTCGTAAGCTTACAAATAGCAACAGATTTCAACAAATGAAGCACGTATGCCACGTATATTCCTAGTAAATGAACTTGAGTCATACTGAACTAAATATGCGTTTCGTATCTTCTCTTCAAAACCCGTATTTGGCAAAGCATTTATACGCCACAAAGATGAGCTTTGGCGACCTACGCCAAGAATGAATTTTACAGGACGATTACCATGAAACGTCAAGTAAACAAGACAATGTACAAATGACTATTTACTCATTGGCAAAGAATATTATTTTTTTAATACAGAATGTTTTAATTTATTTATTGTTAACATTTATATTAAAACACAATTTGATATATTCTAATATATTTTACCTGGAACTGTTACGTTTTCCGTGAGTGTACTCGTGCTTGAAGGGTCGTACTCGTACTCGTGCTTGAAGGGTCAATAGAAATTGAAGTAGTTTCAACTCTAACTGAAGGACAAGTTTCGTTTTATAAGATTATCCTAGCTAGTTTATTTTCATACGCCACTGAATATTCCAGATATCCTTCAGTTACCGTGGAACTTTCCCATCCACTACGTCTTTTAATATTTGTTCCATTTTAATATTTTGTTGAAAGAGCTCCAGCGTCTGCTAATATCGTAGCGAAAGACCGCCTAAAACAATGCCAAGAGTTCTGATTTGCATAGGGTAATTTTAGAAACTGTACAACTGTGACATTTTACCAAAACTATTAATGCCAACAGGTTGAATGGATCACTTATTTTTTTTATAATATATGAAAACCTTGTCGATAGGCTTGTGTTTAGGTCACATTGAAACATACTTTCGATAAAGATGTACAAGGTTAAATACATCACAAAGTTTGTCTCATAATTTTAAGTAAAATAAATCATTTGTATAACTAAGTGAAGTCTGCAATGAAAATATTTCGATTTCATGATTCTTCAAATAATATTTAAAAATATTTGTAAATAAAATAGGAGCCCGGGTTCGGGTAGTTGCTTCTACTTTGGTTCTAATTGGTCAAAGTGAAAAAATATGTGTGAAATGTGAAGAAGCAAGAAACGTGTACAAATGCTTATTTACTTAGTTTTCTTAATACTTTGAGTGAATAAATAGTACGAAAAATAACATATAACAAATAAAAATACTTCAAAATACATCTATGACATTGTAAAATGTCACACACTCAATTTTCAGGTGCCTATTTGCCAGTCAAAACTGGGACCAATAACAATTGTATTTGTAATTATGCTTCTAAGTTCTCTCCACCAGGGTATTTCTACAGAAAATCAAATTTATGACAAAAGTCGCAAATTATTATTAGTGACAAAATAGCTGGCATGTTAGTGACAGCCTTCTTGACAATCATAGTGGATCAAATATTCAAAATGTATAATTTCGTAACAATCTCGAATAAAGGTGTCTAAAAAGAGGGAACATTTTAAGTATTTTTCATCACATATTATTTTAACGGTACACGTGATAATGGCGTACACTGATATTTGCCCCAAAATTAATGGTTTAATTTTCGAACTTTATTATTTTTTCTGATTTTATGAATTGTTTGGTGGCATGAATAATTTTGACATTCTTTAAAAAGAAACCTATCTCCATTATTTGATATTTCATCATGTTTGCTATGATAAATGTCAAATTATTAAGCAAATGTAGGATATTGGTAATGAGTTTGATTTCCAATTCGTGGTTTATAATGAGTGATTTATTATCAACAAGGGAGACATGAAATTCAAAATATATTCGAAGCTGCGTTTGCACAAATACACATAACTCGAACTTGGGAACTTTAAGTGCACCAATATTTAACAAATCATGATTGTAGCTTATCTTTCTAAAAAAACTCATTGATAATAAATAAACATTTACATCAATGACGGACATACTCTGCAACAGTACGAAAAAACATACCACCAGGAATTTGCAAGTTGTAAAAGGCAAGTTTCCTAGAGCTAAGAAAACGTATGTACTCATTCTCTAAGATTGAAAGATTTCACTTCCTTACAAAAAGTTTAGAATCTGTGTAGCATTAAAAACGGTCACATAGATGAACTAGTTTTTTTTAGTTCATTGTTTCTGTGTTCAAATTTCCTCAATGATTTTGTGTTCACTATTAGATGAAGGTGAAAGAATAGACTGCCACCTTCTAAAAGCGTAATTCTGATCATTCCCTGCAGCCTAAACAAAGTAATGTATATTACAATAAGAAGGAAGATCATGTGATGTCTATGTATGACGCAACATCGCCGATGAGCAATGTTTCACTCCAAAAAGATGTCGTTGAAAGGCACTTTATTGAAGATGCCTCTTGAATACTGGTGAATTATCGCACCGAACGCTTCGTCAAAAGCTGGTTTGAGGAAGTCCCACAGTTCCTTCCAGTTCTCGTTCAACAGTGTGTTCATAGATTCACCTAAAAACAAGAAAAGAATCGTAAAGGGAGTATTTTATGATGATATCTGTTCTTAAAAAAATACTATTGAGTAATCCAAATTTAAACAACACAGAATTCTTCATTTCTGTAGATCCCTACAGGTCGTGAAAAAAACATTTGCGAGTTTCGGAATAAGTTACTTTACACATACGAACTTGAATTATCCTAGCTCATAGCTACATTTCTCACTAATTACTTACGGTATCACCCGCCTATTGGTTTGTAACTAATAATAATCTACCTAAAATTATTGATTTCTTTGTGTAGAAGGTAACTGATAAAATGATACAAATGATTGACTTTGAATGTCTCTTTATGATAATGTATAGCCTAATTTGTCAAGACTGCTCCCCATCACGGAGTTAATTCAATCATAGAAGAACCCAGTCAACGAATAACGTATGTGTGGACCTGTATTATACTGTTTATCTAGGGACAAACATGGCAACTTTGTGATCAATGAAAAAAAAAGGGGCCATCAATGAACCCGGTGAAAACGACGCCAAGTAGCTTACTAGAAAATTACACTGGTAGCATGTCCACTGCTTCTGTCGAGATAATTTATAAAAGGTCGAATAATTCACGTAGTTTTCTCCCAATTCATTTTCCCCCAAAACTGAACCGAATACTCTTTTTGCAATGTTTGTGTTCCCATTGTATGATCTTATTATTTTTACTATCCTTATCGACGGAAATTAAGTTTTATCATTGACGTTATATTTTTATTTGTTCTTTCTTTTCCTTTTTCTTTATTTTTGCCTCTTTCTGTCTTTCTTTCAGAGTTTCCGAACCACAAACTTTATGTTACAACAGCCTATTATGTTTACAGCCAAATCCCCACACGTGTTTGGTACCGATTGTGATTGTGACAAAGGAGAAGTGATTAAAGGTTTATTTAAAAGCTTGGGAAGCGATTTATTTTGTCAAATTATATGTGTGTGGGAGTGAAATCCCCCCCTAACACGTTGCGTAGTGAGAACGAATTTTGAGAGGCCTTGATTCTGAAACATTAGTTTCTAGCAAAACGTCTAACAGTCAATCTGTGATCAACGTCTATCTATTCAGATAATTTTATCTAAAGTTGATATTCTCTCCCCAATATGATAGAACTGAAGGGCCTACGAGTTTGAATCGTATATTTTGATTTTTGACGGTTCTTCGAATGAAACCGTAATAACATTTTCAAAATTATCTCAAAAATGGCTCTGAAGTTTTTAATTAAAAATGGCTCTGAAGTTTTTAATTAAATTCTTTTAGAGAGAGCAAAGAACATTCAAGGAAAGGTGCAGATCGCATTTTTCTTGAACTCTTTGAAAATCTGAAAATTGACGAAGTTGAAGCTTTTTTGTGTCTTCGAATAAATAAAATATTAAAGATAAAATCATTTTAATGAAATCTGTTCTTTAAATGCAGATATTTAAAAAGATCATGTACATTATTTTGAAATTATTTTTTGCGTTTAAGTTGGCCTAAAATATAGACATATTTAAACATTTTTTTTTCAAAAAACTGTTCCAAATCTTTTTTGTACATTTTTTACCCGAACGGAGCAAAGTCTGATCATAAAAATGGTGCAGGTCTCATTTTCGTTTAACTCTTAATTTTTGAAAATTGAAAATAAGTTGCAAATAATCCGGGAGAGTAAAAATCCGCAAGCGTTTACTGCGGTTGGGTGACCGGCTAGGAACCGCGGGAACTAACGGCGTCGAGCCCCTGGCCGAAAGGATAACAGGAACTGGCTCACTGCAACGTAACGAGACTTGATGAATATAGTAATTACTCAGTAATTATAGTTATTACTAAGTAACGGAAGATAACTATAAGGTAATCGCTCAATTCCCAACAAGGGTTAAAGAGACGCGTTGCGTCAACGATGCAACAAATTAAATTTTAAAAAAAACAACGGTTTTTATGGTGTGAAATAGTTCTTGTCAACCAGCAATGCACTTCGGTGTTACGAAATGCTGCGCAATGGAGTCGGTGGAGTGGACGGGTTGGGGGCAGGTATTGTAGGGACAAGGGTTGTGTAAGAGAAGGGTCATTTCATTGATTGATTCACGTTTACAGGCACGTCAGCTGCTAAGGTCAATAGTCCGATAAGTGTAGTGCCTGATTTCGTAGTTAGATGATCTTCTTCCAGTGGATGGTGATATTCGGTACCGACCTACATGTCGGCTGGTGGAGTTTTCCCCATTCAGGTTTCTCCCACCAGCGGGCTCCGCCCTAGCCGAAACAATCTGTAAGCTGCTGACAGATTTTCGGATATGTCTGGTTGTATAGTGCATGGGAATGTAAGTGTATATAATTAACAGGCGAGAAGAGAACCAGGAAGAGGAAGGAAAGACTGCGCGCGTTCCATAGCCCGTTTCTTAGGGTACATATCTGGTGTTGATTACAGATGTCGCGGAAAACTACCGATCAGAGCAGCCGGCCTCTAGAATTCTCGTTCCAAACAGCGACTGAATTCGACCTAGCTATTAACGAGTGTCGAAAATCCCGGCACCGTCGGGACTCAAACTCTTGGAAGTCAGCGGGCGAGATAGAACATATATAGGTAGAACATGACAGGGTATGTTGGCGATGAGGCCAGGTCGGTGGTGAGATCGGCAGAGTTGGCTGAGGGCATCAACACTGATGTCACTGCAGTGTCTCTGACTCGCAGGTCCTAGGTTCACGCCGTGACGGTGGCAGAATTTTGACACTAGCTAATCCCTAGGTCGAATTCATTAGCTGCCTGAAGGATAATTCCAGCAGCCGGCTGCTCTGATTGGTAGTTTTCCATGGTTTCTCTGAACATCACCAGGCGAATGCCGGAGCAGTACCCTAACAAATGGGCCGCGCGCGATCTTTCCTTCCTTTTACTTGTCCTATCATCACCCCTTACGTACACACACTTACAATAACATGCTCTATACTACCACACATGACGGAAGACCAGTCGAGAGCTTAGAGCTTGTCCCCGCTGGGGCGGTGCCCCGCTGGTGGGGAACACCTGGATGGGGGAACCCCGCTTGTCGACAGTAGGTAGGAGCCAGATCTCACCATCTAACTGGGAAGATCACCGCAACCTCTCGCGATAATGCACTGCACTTAGCGGACAAAGGACCTTGGAAGTTGACGCGCCCGGCATCACTAATCAATCAGCCAATCAATCAATCTATGGTGACGGCGGGCAGGCAGAAAGAAGAGCGAAGCGGTGCGTGATACATCAGGCGGTCAGCTGTGGTGGAGGGGGGCGGGGAAATGCGTGGTGTAGCGGAGAGGTGGTGGCTCAGATTGAAATAAAGATACTTACATTTTTCACCACAAATAAAATAAAACTCGCCTAAAGGTTTTTTCTAGCAACAATTTTTTTAATTTTCTTATCTGCATCAATTTCTCCAGATATACAGATTACAACCGAGGAACTTAATTGAACTTAAGGGAACTTTCTTGCTCAATATTTTGGTTTAAACAACCTTGCCTAGTAATGCCATTGGATTGGTTCTTTTTTATCAGGCATCTTAAATTATATTTTTTTGTGATCTGCAGTTTTTTCAGAGCTCTTTATAGTGCCGTCATTATCCGATATCGAAGCTTGGTCGTCCACGAACAGACGTGTAATTATAAAATTTTTATTATTAAATTGTGTGTAAAATTTAAAAACTTCCCTCCTGAAAGTTGATTCTGCATAAATGGTGATTCTCATAATCACATTTAAGTACAATATTCGAAGAAAAACATTAAAGTTCTGCTACAGAATAATTATCAAAATGTTTTGAGATTTTCGAATAAATTACACCATCAAATTAAAAGATTACTTCAAAATTTGCAGTACCTCTAGTTGAGTTAAACCAATTGTAATATTCATATTTGACAAATTTGCTAGCACGGACTTTTGCCAATGACCATGTGGGTGAAAATCACATTAATGGTGTTACACATATGCAATTTTGTACAGAGTCCTGACTCTAGGCAATGGGTTCTGCACTGAGGTTTGGCAAAGACGCAAAAACTCTACATTCGAACGCGTATAATAGTGAATGCGCTTTCAGCCCCCTGCTAAACAACCAACATAGAAAATCGTAAGTACAATATATCAAAGCACTAATACGATTTCATCTAAATCTATCTGATAAAATTTTACTTGTCATTTAAAATTTAGTAAAATCGGAATTGCTGGAATTGTTGTACATCTTAATAACTTCAAATTATACTATCATTTACTATTGGAAATTCTGAAAAATTGTTGTTTTATGTTAACAGACTGAAACAACGATTAGCATACAAGTATTCAATGTTGATGTTTTTTCACTTACCAAGTGATTTATCTCCGTTAAACAGATTGTCGAAATGGGATTCCAATTTTTCAGTACTGTACAGATCCAAAGTCAAATCGGTTATGTCAAAATGGTTTTTGTTTTTCTTCATTAATCCTTTTCCTTTGAGGTCCAGAAGTCCTTTAAGATGAGCTAAGAAAAAATTACTTCCATCATCATTAAATTTCTTGTACAAATATTGACGACCTATGTATTAAACTAGCTTACCCGTGAGAATTAATTATTAATGTGGAGATAAAAAGTTAAAGAATTTTTCAAAATATAATAGTACGAAATGCAATTAGTTTATAATGTTAAGCTTTATTGCATGAGTACATGTTTTGAAAACGAGCGACTTAAAGAGCGAGTTTTCAAATTTGTACGAATGTATTAATGTAACATTATAAACGAGTTGCTTACTACATTTTTTTGGATAACAGCGTTATACATTTATAAGATAATCTAACATAATTTTGCGAATTAACTTCCCTGTGACGACTCGAGAATTTGACATCGTGCTAGTAATCGGTGTTTGGCTGTTCCGTTTAGCTCTACCTCCCCCCGATTCTCTCACTACGATTGGCTGAATGTGTGATGACGCAATCATTCGTGACATAAAATCTAATACGTCATCATTTGTGCAGTAAAATGACGGATTATGAACGATTTCTTGTAACATAAAAGGTTCTTTTATAATGCTGTAATGCAAACAAATTAATTTTCTAAACAGTAGCGGATAAGGACGGAGAGGCCTGTTGAACATGATTTATAATTTATCTCAACTTATTCGAAACAATTATAACGTATTGATGGCTTTACACCCAAAAGAGTATTATGAACATTCATTTTTTTATTTCAAGCAAACAATTTTTTCTGTGTTGTTTTATTTCAAAAATATTTAGTATGCAGTTGGTTAAAACTACAATTGCTCTCCATCTTCTTCATATATTTTATGGATATTCTTCTGGTCTTAATGGGCTTAATGAGTAAAAAGAAACATGTAGCGTTCAAGAAGAGAATTTGCGAAAATGATACGAATAAATTTCACGCGTATCTATTTATGCTGCTGACGATGATGATGAATTGAAGGGCTCAGAAGAACAAGTGGATATCCCTCATCGACATAGTTTTGAGATAATGACATTTTTACCTGAACTCCTCTCATTTAACTCAAAATATGTTTAAGCTTTTAAACACAGTACATTTACATATGGAGCCATACTGGATTTAAATAACATATTAAGAACACTAAAAGAATAATATTTGAAGTTTTACATAATGTTATTAATTCAATTTCACAAAAAACGTGGGAGAGACTCTTGTTCAACTGAGCCCTTTAACTATGGAGGAGACTACAAAAGTGTGGAGCTAGATACATACAGATGGAAATATTCTTAGACCCCCTATTTGTCATCTACATTTAAATTTGTTTTTATAATTTTACAGAAGCAAATTCTAAAATTGATTAATTTAGGGTACTCACAGACGTTGAGCCTGCATCGGCCCTTGCCGGTAACAGGCAGAAGCAACACGCGCCCATTCATTTCGTAGTCCGCGTCGAATGTTACTTTCTCCATCTCACCGCGGAAACGCATTGTGTATTTCTTCAGATCAATCCTGCAATGAATAAATGCAAAGTATAGGTCACTTTAATTACAATCATCTAGACGGAAACCGAGAGAGATGGTTCAGGGGATGTCACTGCAGTCGCTCTGATTGGGAAGACCTACGTTCGAGTTCCGACGGTAGCAACATTTTAGACACAAGCTTGTCAACTAGGTCGAATTCAGGCACTGTCTGGAGGAGAATTCTAGCTGCTGGCTGCTCTGCGTGGTAGTTTTCTTTTGTTTCGCCGATGAATGCTAGGCGAATGCCGCAACTCTAACAAACGAGTCACGGAACACGCGCGATCATGCGTGCCACTTCCTTGTCCTATCCTCATTCCTTACTTACACACACTTATACTAACATGCATTACAACACATGCCAAGAGACCGGTCGAGAGCTTAGAACTTGTCCCGGTGAGGGCGTTCCCCGGTACCCTCTGGTGGGAGATACCTGGATAAGGAAACCCCCCGTAGCCGACGGTAGCTCGGCGCCGGTTCTCGTCACCCAGCAGGGCAAGATCACCGCCATCTTCCGAGGAAAAAACATGAACTACACATACATCACTAATGACCTTAGCAGTTGACGCGCCCGGAATCACTAATGAATCAATCCATGTAGACAGGAAGAAGGAAAATCATTTGTTAAAAAGTCTTCAATTCGTGGAAACCTTGAATTTTGTTGCTTCAAGATTGATACGCTAAATGATAGGGATAAGAAACGACAACGCAGGATTCAAGTATTTCGACAATATTTATCTAGACTCTAGATTTTCCAAGGCTTTTCAAAAGTCGTCTTAAGACTGCCGAGCGTTTTAAACCTAAAAATTTTATTATCTGCAATGCAAAGCTCTTTCACTCTCTGTCACAGAGTATTACTTCCTGGGGCAACAACTAGAGTCATTTTGTACGTTAACAACTACTCAAGTCAAGTGTAGTGTAGTGGTTTATTCTTGCCCTATTTTGGGACGATCATAAAGTTTAATGGAATCACGGTAGAAATGAGAAATTTGTGACATTATTACATGAGAATCAAACAAATGAATTTTGAAATGGACACGATTAGCAAGAAATAAAGGAGGCTAACATAGGATGTGTCCAGCGGATTGGATGTGATGAATACTATGCATGGGTATACTATGCATAGGTGCATAGGACACGTGAATCATTTCCACTTAGGAAATACCAGTAATAAATAAAAAGGTAGATTATTAAGAAAAATAATATAAGTAAAGCGAATGATAGCAAATGGGGGGAAGTGAACGATAAATAAACATGACGTGTAAAATTTAGCAAAGAGATAAGAAATTCGAGAACGTTTGGACAGGAAGTGACAGTTACAAGGCGGGTATTATGATTTGAAGGTATGCTGCTACTGTAAGAGACAGACGCAAAATAATTATCGTGCAAATAGTTTTGTCGCTAAATGCAGGATGAATTAGTAGTAAATATTATTTAAAGAGTAGATAGAAGAATGTGAACAATGGAATCATATAGGGAGTGAATTAAAAAAAAAGATAATTGGTGAATGCCTACTCGAGTTAAAATTTGAACTCGAACGGGGCTAGGCAAGTTGTGCCTGCCATGAAATTGGAACGGAGTTCAACAGCGGTATCACCGGCCAAGAGGACAGTAGTCAGCTTGAAGGAAAGTGAATAAACATGAAATGCATTTAATATAAGAATACGAAGTTATGTTTAAATTAAATAAAACAAGTAGTAGTATTTTAAGAGAGAATTAAAGAATGAGTAAATTAATAAATGAATGAATGGGAAATTTGTGTTTGTAAATACTTCGAATGAAAATAATATTATAGCGTATTGTCATGTGTTGCATTCGTAGAGGTGAAGCTGCAATAAATGGGCTGTATTGTAATGACAAAAGGAAAATTGTAATATTTAGAAACGACTAAACTATTTTCAAGTAGTTCGAATCCAATTAAAAACTCTACGTAAACTCCCCGTCTGTCGACCTAATATATAAATATTTCTATGACCAATGAGCGAATTACACTTTAGCTTATTTAGAAGAATTATTCATTTCTACCTTATTTAGTTCATATCACTGGTTGTGGCGAAAAGTGAGATTCAGAACCATCCTACACGTAGACATGCGTGACCTTATTCAGGTATCTCCCGCAGTAGAGTACCGCCTTAGCACCGATTGGTCTTTCGACATGTGTTAGTGTATTACAAGTAAGTGTATCTGTGTTTACGAAATGAGAGTATAATTTTTGAGGAAAGAAAAACCGCACTCGCTTCGGAACCTGTCGGTGTTCGGAAAGCGCAGCCACGGTATTCGTTGGTTTTTGATAGGAGAAACCACAGAACTACCAACAAGGCCAGCTGCTTCCCACAGATTATGGTTGAACTTGACCCAGCTATGTGGGTAGTGTCTAAAATCCGCAACTATTGAGACCTTCCATCGTGTGATACTGTAAGAACAAGATTATCAGAATCATCAACTGATCGCATGTAAGATTGTATCAGTTTTGTACTTACTCAGAGCTCGAAACTTTGCATTCGGAAAGTCCTCCCACCGAGACGTTGGTGAACTTTATTTTCAACGCAATGGGACCTTGACCCTGATCAATATCGAGGCTTGAAGCTTTCAGAGGGTCCAGGGATAGTACACCAAGAGACGGGATTCCTGTAATATACAAAGGTGCATTAATGTAGCCTGAAATGAAAGTATCTTTGGTAACTTACAGTCAGTTTATTTTTGTGAAAAATTATTGTGGATTTAAACGATTAAAATGACACAAAGTGAAATGTCGTATCTTTTTAAAAAATAAGATAGTAAAAATAAGTGCAACGCTCCCACAATATTGAAATGCGTTTATACCAAAGACAGATAAGTTAGTTTAACATGAATTAGATGTATTTAAGGATTGTGAGAAAGAACTACAAACTACAATTTTCAATATTTATTGATACAAATACAACATTACTTTTGATGACACCCTGTTTTATTATTACTGCGTAAGATTTTTGTCATCGCTCTTTTGTTATCTGCAAACGATTGTACAACTAGAAGAACATAACTTCATGAATGCAATGTTGAGAGCAAGTCTTTTGAAAAAATCTTTATTTTTGGTAATGGTTTTGGGAATTTAGATTTATTCAGTCAAAAAACAGTAAAAACTATATGTGACATAGAGGGAAAAGATTATCTGCGCGCGTTTTCTTGAGTTCCAGAATCCCTTCCCGTCATTTTAACTATAAATAGTTGAAAGATGAGTCAAAGTTTAACATAAATAAATACAAATAAATTTTAAAAATACATTTTATCAATATTGGAAAAATATTTATTTTCGTTTCCGAGTTATAGAAAAGTTATTTGCATCGGTATACGAACTGCAAGTATGATTTTTCTGCATTGCTAACATAATAGCAACTCCCCCTTACCTCTACTCTTTTTATTACAAGCAAAAGGCCAGTTCAACAGAACGTGCGCATACTGAAGCTACATTTACGTCCAGAAGCAAAACTAGGGTCCATCTCAGCATTGGCTCAATGGATCAGGTAAACTGGACACAAACGCGATAGAGATGGGCGAAAGTAGTCGTATACCACCGGAAAATCTTTGTCATTTTTACGTTCTAGAAAATATTCGGAATAAAATTGTAGAACACTTTTCATTCCAGATAATTCTCATATTTTTATATGTAGAAGGAATTAATGTTCAATTTAGAGCATTTCCTACCATATCAAGGAAAAAAAGAACTCTTGAGAACAATAATACACACTTTTTTCCTATGAAAATCATCTTTCTTTACTTAGAAATAAAGATTCGGTATGACTCTTGCGACTTTAATACCGTCATTTTAACCCTCAACGACAAAAAGAATACTGACCGTCCTTCAGTTGAGGAATAACAGCATTAGTTGCCTTCTTTATGCATTCATTAATGTTTGGATCCTCTTGTTTACAGCGAGGAAATTTATCAGCTGAAACAAATAACATTCACAGAAATAAAGCAGAGCTTGTGAAATAATATTTTTAAGAAAACATTGAAGTTAAGATCTGGTAGATTTTAATTAACATAAAATCCGCATATTACTTTCTTCTTTAGATACAATTTAATATATCATTAAATTATTGTAAACTCTGTATATGAGCATCATTGAGAGACGAACGATGAAAAGCGAGAATCATGCCAAACTCGATTGGCCAACATATTTTCAGTGCCGGAAACCAAGCAAACTGCCACGACTTTAGATATGCTGCACACAAGGCTTAAACATAGAAAGTAGAGAGTAGCTGGCACCTCTAACAAAATATTCTCTGTGGTTTTCAAATTGCTGTGAAAGCAATTAAAGAAAGTAAATCAATGCAAGACGATCCTTGACAAGAAGGGGTGGGGCCAGAGGTTATTTCTGTGAACTCGTAGGAACGACTCATTCTACGTTTTATCATCTTCACAACGATTTTTTATTAATTTTGAATCTTAAAGGTTTGTCATTTTGCAAATCTAAGCGATTACGTCAAAATAGAAATAAGAATGCATTTAAGGCATTCAGTTTATTGACTACTTTTCCTAATGGCTGTTAATGTGAGATGATACATCTCTTCAATACTTCGTATATTACATTTTTTCCAATTAGTGATCACTAGCTTTACTATGGTGTGTAATTTCATGTTAAAAAAGTTATTTTTTCTTTTAGTTCAGTAAAATAGTTACAGCTAGCAATAAAAATATTTTTTTTGCGCGCAATAAAAATACTGCGTCGTTAATTTTTAGAACGTTCCATGAAAAAGTGTCGATTAATGTTGGTACTTGTTTAATAACTAAATTTTATTTTTCTCATTCTGATGAATCGTGTAGTTACGGTTGATGTAATTACCCCCACCGTGTAAAGATATTGTAGGTATATTTAGAGAAATGTACTCGTGAGAGTATTAAAACTATCAAACAAACGTATTTTTTTAGAAATCTTTCAGAGTATCTTAAAGCATTGTGCTAATCGGTTTGTCTAGTTGAGAGTAATCAAATGAGGAATTTGATCAATCCTGTAGAAGGTGTAGTGAGGTCTTCAAGTCACAGCAATCGCCATGTAGTTGCTTGAAAGAAACACTCCAGACGTTCTTATGAAGTAATTTCTTAGAGTATCCTGGACGGAACCAGAAATGATTGGATTCCCACCAGAAGACCGAGACGAGTCGAAATTCAACCCTTTTGTCTATATTACTGGAACGGAAAGGGATTAAGCAAGAGTGATGGATGGACGGACGGACACACAGTCAGACAGTCAAGTAGACAGTCAGACAGTCCGTCAGACAGTCAGATAGTCAGACAAACAGTTAGACAATCAATCTGTCAGACAGGTAGACAGGCCCTGGTTACTCGCTTACTATATATGAATTTTTACTTATTATACACTGATTTTCTCCTCAATAGATATTCCCCAACCGATTTAAATGAACTCCAGGCCCTCTGAGGTTGAAACGGATATTTTAATCTTGGAAGTATTTTAAGTAAAGCGCCAACATTTTCCACATTTTCTAAACATTTACTCCACTTTTTAATAAACTTTGTCCTTGTGTAGCGTAAAAAACGCTTAAGAGAATAGTGCAAGTTTAATTTTTGGTTAAAATCCCTGATTTTTCGAAAAATTCAGTTTTCTGGTCGTCTTACTAAAACTACAGTATTGAAGATAGAGATTTTTTCCTTAATGAAATCTGGTTTTTAAAGCCAGATTATAAAATTAGATCTAGTACAATTTTCTAAAAATATGAGTAGTTTTCTAGTATTTTTAATGCAATTTTTATTTAAAAAATACTTTTTCTCAAAAAAAGCTCTATTTTTTTCTTTAAAATTTCTCCCCGTATGAATCAACGAATGGTAAAAAGCGAGGCTAGTTTCCTTTTCGACCAAACCTCTACTATACCAAAAATTGGAAAATTTTAACAATTGAAAACATCAAAATTGCAGATAAATATTTTTGACTTAAAATATATTCTAAAATATCAGCTCTTTGAAGACAGCATAATTTTTGCTTGAAATCTCTACCAATAAAAAATATTTCTATAAAACCGCTCAAATTTTTTAAGTATCAAATATCACTAGTTCTTTAATGGAGATTATTTCTTATTTGTTCAGGGGCAGATACTGTAACAATCTAGAACAAATTTTTGAAAACATACGAGTAAGTCGGTTTTCCAAAATTTGGCGGATTTGAAATATAGGCAATTTTTAAACAATTATTCTCTGGAAAATAGACCCAATTTTGTTCTTTAAATTTCTTCTCCGTATTTAGCAGAGGAGGGTTAAACAAACTGGTGCTAGTCCCGCTTCCGGGGAACTCTGTAGTTTCGAAAATTGCAAAATGTTAACATTGTAAAATTACAAATTTGACGATATTGATTTTTGTTTCATCTAAAATTATTTCAAAAAATTATCATTTTAAAAAGTTCATGTACTTTCTTTTTTTAAAGAGTCGTTTTCTGGTTATTTCTGCTTGAAATAAATACAATTTTTTAAAAATTCTCAAAAACTACTACTGCTTTTTTCCACAGATAGAACAAAGGACAGGTAGAAGAATGATGTAGGTCTTATTATCGTTGAGGTCTCTGTATTTTTGAAAACTGCAAAAGTTAAAATAATGCGAGAAAGTATTTTTTCGGCGTCTTCTTTCAAGTAGCGTACTAAAGATACAGATTGTTCCTCTGAATAAAATATGTTTTTGAAAATTTTCTTTAAAACATAACATATACATTTATTCAAACTATGAATAGTTTTAAATTAATTTTGCATGAAATAAGGTTAATTGAAAAAAATACAAAAAACTATTCCAAATGTTTCCTGACGCTTTGTACGGACAGTGTTGTATGCACTGAATAACACAACGAACCCATTTTGTCTTATTCCGTAGATTTTTTTAAAGCAAGAATCTCCCACCTTCGAGACATATTCACAATCGGTGACAAGCCCTAATCTACCGACATGTGCAGTAGTGTGGTAGATGTAAATGTATGTGTGAGGGATGGCTCGTTTGTTGTCCTTGTGCCCAAGCATGGTCCGACTTTCCACCAGTGTTGATCGGAGAAACTTCGGTACACCACCCATTAGCGCAGCCGGCCTCAAAAATTCTCTTTCAGACAGCGGTTGACATCGGCCTAGATATCTATTGAAAATCTTGTCAACGCCGCGACTCGAACCTTAAGACCTACCGGTTATAGGCACTGGCTTCTCATTGGTTGATGCCCTGAGACACGTCATTCGGTCTACCTTTTCGACAGCTACCTTTTGCACAAAAAGTCATATTTCGTGTAAGAAAATACATAAGAAAACCAATGTAACAAATTAATAAAGCAGCGAAAACAATGCTGAGTGATTACAATCCCGAGCTTGTGTTAAGCTATTTGATTTTTTATGACCTGTAATGTGCTTAGATGGCTGTTATGCGCAGGGCACCTCTTCTCGTGAGTCTTGCTCGAGCTTTAACGCGATGTACACAGAGCCGGTGCTAGGATATTTTACGCACCACCCCATGTAATATAATAATAATAATAATAATAATAATAATAATAATAATAATAATAATAATAATAATAATGCGTCCCCAGATAATACTTAATTTAGATAAATAATGTATGCACATACTTATTGTTCAGAATATCAACGTAAAGGCAATAATGACCAACTAAAATGAAATCGACTATTGAAACAGTAATACAAGTAAATGTAATACTTGTAAATTATCTGTATTGAAGGTATCTTCTAACAAAATAAATAATTATTTTATTAATAATATGATAAGTCGAAATTCGATGGCCGAGATCGCTAAGACAGTAGTGCAATGGCGTACCGGACCAAAGACAGCGGGTTTCACCCCGTCTCCCAGGGCTAACTACTCTGGGATGTAAAAATGCAATGAGCGTTTAAAAGGCCGATCCCGCCAATAGAAACTAAAGCGCACCTACCCCGATATTCAAGACTGAGTCCGGTGGGATGCACATATCGCGTGGCTCATGATGGCCCATATATATATATATATATATATAATATATATATATATATATATATATATATATATATATGGTACGATTGCGCCCTCCCCGAAGTTTGTTGCCCTGGGCGTTTGCCAGTTTGGTTGAGATTGGCGGCAGTCCTGTAGTCGAGTACATCGCGTGAATTCAAAAGTCGGCAGCTATTTTTCCTCGTCGACCGCCTGCAGGAGACTCTTTACCACTTACTGAAAACGTCCGCACGGGCTACCTGGGACGACCCAGAAAGGGAAAGCGAGATAGGACTCCTCTAAAGACAGCTGTGGCACGAACCAGATGAAGATGTTACGTAATCAAGCGACGAAGGCCGCGCTGAAGACCCACGTGATTTTTTAACTTGAAAACTTTAAAATGATAATAATAATATAAGTAGTAATAATAATAACAACTTTGCAAATGGCTGCTAATTTGCTGTAGTATTTTTTAATGTAATGAGATTTATAATTTATTGTATATGGACAAAGATAAATTACATTTTTGTATAAATTTGATGTGGATGTATTATATAAGTGTACCTTATTCTACCTACTCATTCAGGAGTTTAAAATGTATTCAAATTAATGAATGAATAACATTATGTAAATGGATATTATGTCGATTTAAAATCAAAAACACATTAACTATCAGTAAATTTCAGTAACTTTCAGTAAATGTGAGTACTTCATATTAATATATAAAATCGAGATTCTCGTGTAGGAAATGGCTACCCGAGACAGTCTGTTAGCTTTCTATGAGCCGGTCCCGGGTTCGATTCCCGGCCAGAACAATAATGAAACTGTAGCGTACTTACAAGTACTTACATGCATTTATGTGTACGTACTACAAAGTATTTATAGCCATTTGCTGTCCTATAACTTTTGAATCACGAAGTTTGGAGAGATTGCTCTCAAATTTTGCATTGAACATGTTTATTAGCCGGGAACAAACACAGAAGGTTTTGCGATCTCAAAATCTTTTCTCGTGTTCGGATACATCATCAAATGTCACTAAAAATGAAATAATGCGCAATTACAGCAGACGATTTTACTAGAAACGACACAATGTAGGTGGGACTGTTGCCAGGCGACATGGCGCGGGACCGGACAGAGCCTGTGAAGAGCATACAACGCGGGCTGAGAGTGCGAGTCTGGTAGAGTTTGAGGTGAGCGTAAAACGTTTGAAGGGGATAGAGCTTAAGGAGCGAACTCAGTGGGCAGAGAGAACTGTAAAAGTTGATTTAACAAATCGAAATCGAAACCAAAAATTACAAAAACAAATCTTCCATTTCTTTGATCAGAATTATTCTTTACTAGCTAGAACTGTGCGAACATTCACCTCTTTGTAAATAACTATTTTTAACATAAAAATAATTTCAATTGGGAATCGATCTTCAATTTGTCAGGTTCTGAACGGAGCATTGCATGATGCAGGTTTCGAACTGTGCGCGAGTGATATTGATGATTTTGGACCAATCCTGAGAAAATAACGAACGCGTCTAAAATTGAACGAAAAGTAAAATAAAAATGGGACCTGTACTCTCAAAATATAGTAATGTTTTGCAATTAAAATTAAAATTGTTTTTAAATGGACTGTAATATCAAAATAATATATAAATTATAATTTCATTATTTCCAATGGCTCTCATGATCGTCGAAATCACACTTTTATGACACCTCGGTTGCTTCTTTCATGCAGGTAGAGAAGCAACACAAACCACATCCTTATCATAATATTATTACTTACGCAGCTTCTGAGACGTTACGCCAATCAAGATTTGGCAGGTTACAAGCGACAGCAGAAACAACTGCAACATGGTTGGGCAATGTGGACCAGGAGGTAAAGCCGTGTCTAGGAAACGTCTGTCGAACTGGACCATAGTCTGCCATGAGCTCTCTTATATGTCTTCTCGCAACTGGGACACGAGCCATTTGACGAGCATGGTTCAAGGTTCCCTGAGTGGACCTTTGCTACCTGGTGGCCGAGACCATGAAAACTTCCATGTCGATTATTGTTTAACGATGAGGAGGAGACGAGATACTTAGAAAAGAAACTAACCTTCGCCGAGACATTGCGTATAAAAAGCACTGGCCAGAGGCACGAGGCCGAGCGTCCAACGCTGCCCAGAGGCAGAAAGCATTTCCTAGTCACTTTAAAAGAAGATTGTGAAGTCTCATTACTTAGAGAGTTTTGGAGAAGGTTGTACATATTTTAAAATAATAAACAGAAAATGAAACAAATAAGAACGATTGGAAAATAATCCTAAGATCCTGGAGTGAACGCTGAATCAAACAAAAGGAGGACTCAACGAGATTACAATTCACTTAAAGAGGGAGATGTAAACAGAGTGGTTGAACAAAATTGTACAGTACAAATGAAACTAATGCATGAAAAATATCATTAAAATATCAGTGCATCGACATTAAGATAGTGTTGATGGCTGATAAGCAAACATCCTATACACCAAAATGCAAATTTAGTAAGAGGCAAAAACTCATATTTCAATATTTTGTAACTATGTTCTAGAATTTTTACAGAAATTATTTCATCTAAAAAAGTTATACTGTAAAAGTGTTTATTATTGTGAGCATAGTTTCACTTCCAGCAGTTTCAAGAATACATAAAAAATCAAGCTCATTGATGAATACGTTTCATAAAAAATATATTTGTGTAATTTTGAAAAAAAAATCAATCAAAAGGGTGTTAATGTAATAATATTAGGTGCATTTAATGCCATAACTAAAAAAGGCAATCGTTGTAAAGATATTGACCATATTTTCTTAAACATTTTGCGAAAAGTACCATTTAAAAAAATTGTACATTACATAAAATATATTTGTGAAGAATAAATTTCATTTATTAAACAAATATCTATTGTCAATATTATGGTTGTAGGAAGACTCTGTAAAATATTTAAACTTTTGTAATTTAAAAAAATTCAAAGATAACATATAAAATTTATCCTGTACCAACCTTATATGTTAATTACACTTTATACTTCAAATGAATTAAAGGAAAACATTGGAGAACATTTTTGAGAAAATTTTGAAATGCAGCCGCCAACCCCTCCCCAATTTAAAAAATCCTTTTCAAAATTTCGTGTCAGATCGACTGGGAAATACGAAGTATATATTACGTACATTACTCCTTACGTAAGTATACGATAAAATAAAAAGCAAATTGTCTTAGCATAATTAAATTATTTGAATTTTACCTTAATAACTAATTTTTATTATAGATATTTTATTTGCCTTTTTAACACTACTTATACAATAACTTGCCTCTTTCGTCATTATATGCTTGTAACTTCCTGTTTTTAGTCTGATGATCAGGAAAAATGGTTACCTTGAAACTGTTGCAAAAACTCATTATTAAATTAGTGCATATCTACATGATCCTGTTTCATTTATGAACACAATATACCTCCTACAGTATAAATCTGGACTCTCCTTAATATGATGGGTACTCGGAAACTAAGTACTGTTTTGAATAAAAAATAGTAAAACAATTATTTTCGAATCCAATTTCATTTTTACATGAAAATAGATGTCTTAAACTATTTTTCAACATAGTTTCCGCCAATGATCAAACACTTGTCATACCGGGTGACCAGTTTTTGTATACCGTTGTGCAAGAAACTTCCCGCCAGTTTCGATAACCACGACTCCACAGCATTTTTCGTGTCATCGTCAGATCCAAAGTGCTTGCCACCAAGCTTGCGCTTCTTGTGCAGGAAGGACGGCGCCACGTCCGGGCTGAACGTCGGGTGATCGACCTGCTCCCAATGAAACTGTCGAATTAACGATTGAGTGACACCAGCAGTATGGGGCCGAGCATTGTCATGGAGCACACAATTCCTTTACTGATCATTCCTCTTTTTTTTTGAATCGCACGGCTGTTAGTTTTTGTTAATTCTCACAATATCGTGCCGCATTAATGGTTTCATCTCTGGAAGACATTCAGTAAGCAAAACGCTTTTCCTATCCCGGAAGACAGTGCACATGATTTGTTTATGACTTGTCACTTTGAACTTTTGTTTTTTCGGAGAATGAGTGTTCTCCACTCCATCGATTGTTATTTCGATTCTGGTGTTAAATGACACACCCAAGTTTCATCACCTGTCAGAATTTGGTTTAAAAGTTTTTCCCTCATCGCTGTACCGCGCGAGAGAAATGTCAGGGCACTACCAAGTCGCTTTGTTTTGTGAACATCAGTGAGCATTTTTGGAGCTCCATTGGGAACACAGGTTGCGATAATTCAAGCGGTCAGACACAATTTCGACAAAACAATAAGTGAATTTGTTGGAAATGCCTCTGAAAGCGTTGTCATTGTGAAGCGTCTGTTCTCATGAATTGCTTCATCACCTGTCCTTACCAGCATCGTTTGCGTGACTAAGAAGGCCGACCACTCCGAGCCTCGGCGTGGACATTTGTTCGACCTGCATTAAACATTCTTACCCACTTTTTCACCATTCCATCACTTATCGCGTATTCACTTCTGTCACTTGACGATAAATTTCGGCCGATTGAACATTCCTCGCGTTTAAAAATTTAATCACGGCACGAATCTCACAGTCAGCGGGAGAACTAATTGTCTTAAACATTTTCAATGTGCACAGCAAACTGAAAACGCAACATAGAGCAACCAAAATGGCGACAATTGAAGATCAGTGAACAAGAAAGACCAGTGCGCATGCGCGGGACGCCTACCACAGCACTGCGATGGCGCTAGAATGAAACGGTACTTAGTTTCCGAATACGCTTCGTATATTGGTTAAAAAACTAATGTTTTACGACAATTATTTGGAAACGCTCAAGATCAGATGTTTCAGAAGTCTCAGAAACGGTTTTGTATCTTTTAAAACACAAATGCAAACTTCCAATACTAACACTAAGAAATTTTGTAAGGCTGACGGTGTAAGATTTCTCCAATGCAGAAAAATTTCATTTTCAGAAAAGTGGCTTCTACAATATTTAATTACATCGGTATTACTTTCTTGTTTGATGCTCAGTTCAATCTCTTCCCATCAACCGTTATAAGGTATGCATCAACCTCAATCTTACACATCAACCGTTATGCAGCAGAAAATTCTTACCTCACAATTAAAACTTGTGAAACAATTTTAACAGTTGACGCATGATGAATATGATTTTTCGTCGTTAAAGTTATCTAAAACGCATGAAAAATGTGTTCCCACTCATGGGCACTTTTCCATAAACCGATTTTCTGACACACTACTTATTCCAACACTATTTCGTGAACACAAAATCCTGAATACCAAGCTCCGAGTTTCCTTTCTAGTAATTTCAAAGTGAAAACATCTTTATTTTGGAGTCCAATTCTAGAAAATATCCTAAACACTGAGATTAAGTTGCGCAACCACTTTAATGTTTTCGTGGAAAATTATTTTTGTTCCCACTCCTTCAATTTCGGTTCACATAGATTTTCAGTTCCTACTTGTTTCTCACCACTCATGCCATGAAGTAGAGAAAACGAAGAACTAAATCTTTAAACATTTGAAATAATGTTCAAAAGCGTCTCATTTTGAGGAAATTCCTCTTTAGAAAAATTACTCGGCCTCCACCTGACCACCCGCATTTTCCCGCATGTTCTCCCATTTATATTTGGCCTGTTCTCCTGCAGGTTCCCACTCACCATATTTCCCGCAGTTCCTCTGCATATTCTCAGAATATTCCTCTCAAGGTTCACAGTATGAGATAACATTTCTTGAATAATTAATTTATGAGTGAAAATAGTCAAACTGAAACTCAATTTAAAACGTTACTGGCAACCCGAGTTATGAAGAGGAGAAGCCTCTGAAAATGCAACAGAATATTCAAACGTTTTCATATCTTAGATTACGTGTTATAAGTGTGTCTTCTTCTTCCGTTGCAGTGCTGGAACGTAATTTAAATCGCATTAATTTCAAGTAGAAAATACACACAAACTACTCTTTTTTTTCACAAATATGCAAAACGTTTTTCAAAGCTCTAATTTTTAGGGCAGATGTTCTTAAAGACAATCACTATCTTCAATATAGTAATTTTGCTATAATTTTTTTCTCAAATATAAAGAGTTCGCTGGAAATGGTACGTCTACTACTTTTTTTTACCATCCTTTGAAACATACAAGGAGAAACGTGAAAACTATTGGAGCCATTTTTAAGAAAATAGCTGTTTGAAAATTGTCAATATTTCACTCAAAACACGCGAAAACGACTCATATTTTCGAAAACTTTAACATGCACAAACTTTAAGATCTATTTTTGAACAACGGACTCATCTTAACTAATGAACGTGGCAATGATTCGATATTTCAGTATATTTCTCTTAACATATTGCTGGACACGTGATCGTTAATCATGCTTTATGCTAAGCAAAAATTCTAATAGATGGAACACCGCCTCCCTAGTGTGGATTTGTTATACCACTTGATTAGGAAATGTTTGTCAAATGTCCTATTGTTAAAACTTTCTAATTCACGTTTAGGCATATGTTTACAATGACACTGTCATGGAATAATTTGATCAACTTGTCCGAGATCATCTTTAAGTAATGTCGGGTGTTAAAATTCCAGCCGATATTTCACAGCTGTGGGTAAGAATTTTATCAAACACGCGCCGCGCGCAGTCATACAAGTGCTAATACTTGCTGGTGTGGCGGGTTGCCTACCCCTTCTGTTCAGGACCGCTTGAGACTTCATAAACGCGTGCCATCAATAACAAGGCCCTCATATGTTCGATTTAATTCGAACCAATTTAAATACTTCCGATGCTAATACAAAAAAGAGTGAAAACTTCAGCAAAATCGGTCTAAGAGATTTTGCGTCTATATGCAACAAACATATGCATATTCCCTTTTATTTACATATAGGTAGTGTAGTAAGACATAGATGATGAAGTAAGTTTAGGAAGAAGTAGACGATGTAGTGTGTAGTAGTTTTTGTAACAAGACATCGAAAAACTTTGCTTTTTTGCAGTTTTCGTATTTTAAAATGATACTTGCGCCATTTTAAATTTTTTTAACAGTATTCGCGGACAAGATTTATACTATTTTGAAACGTTTTTCAAGGCTCTTGAAATAAAATTCTCACAAAAATCCAAATATCCGTTTGCAACTCCGATCGTCACCAGTTCGTACA